AGTGTTTCAAATATATTGTTGTAAGATATATCTTGTAACTTTGTGTCAGGAACATTGTTAAATCATATTAACTGTTGTTAAATATCACGTCTTAATGACGAACAAGTTATCTGTGTATCAAATATATTGTTGTAAGATATATCTTGTAACTTTGTGTCAGGAACATTGTTAAATCATATTAACTGTTGTTAAATATCACATCTTAATGATGAACAAGTTATCTGTGTTTCAAATGTATTGTTGTAAGACATATCTTGTAACTTTGTGTCAGGAACATTGTTAAATCATGTTAACTGTTGTTAAATATCATGTCTTAATGACGAACAAGTTACCTGCGTACCAGACAGTTAACTAAGAACAACATTGGTATTAAAAAATGAATTTCTGTTAAGTTTGCTTTAAGTGATTCAGTCAACACATCTTGGTTAAAAAGTGTTTAGTTAAAGTTGAGCACTTGGTATGAAATTACATGCCATGCTTTTATATAAAGCAGTTCAATCTTTCAGAAAGTTCCAAAATCATTTACTTCTTCAAACTTTTAATTACAGTAGAACCTAAATATGTTGTATTAATTTAAAAAAATAGTTTTATCAACAAAACTCTCATTAAGTAGCTCTGAAAGCAAGTGCATAAAAAATGTAAAATCTTATTCGTATGGTTTCTACGTTGCTTTAAACAACACAGAAACTTTGATATCTTATATTTCAACTAAAATGTTTAGTAAGTCACCTTAAACAACATTATTCAGTTTCAACCAAGATTACGATGCTTTATAAAAATTCAGATTTTCAAATATTTAATTCCGCAATTTGGAGGGACTGAAATAAGAGTGGATATTTTAAAATGTATAATACTCTTTCTTAGATAGTCAATTAACGAAAAGGGTAGGGAAAAATATATCAATGATCTTACTGGGATTAGTTCAAATGTTGGTTTGCTTAAAGTTGCTGTGGATTGAATGTGATATACCTTAGTAAGATAATTAAAATATCAATATAATATTATAGAAATTAACTTTCTTTTTATGAAGACTAAAATGATAATGAATACAATACCATTTTCTTGTAATAAATACAGAAACTGTTATTCCAATATTTTACTAGTCACACTTTAAATATAATTTAATTTACCTTGTTCAAAATAAGTTTATGATTATATGAAAAAAAAAAACATCAGAATTTTAAAAAGGAAAACAAAAACTTCTGATGTATACTGAGGTAAATTTAACAAAATAAGGTTTAATCATTATAACTGTGACGAAAACATTTAACAAAATGGTGAATGTCTTGAAAACACTTAACTATCTGTTACACAACTAACAATGTTTACAGACTAGTTTGTTCATTAAATCCTGTTTGTACTAAGGTTTTTTGTGGTTTGTTAAATCTTTAATATCAGAACAGCTTCAGAAGAAGTTCATGAAACTTCACTTACCTGAGAGATAATCTTGTGCTTGTCATTTTGATAAAACATAAAGAAAATTGTACTCTTAAAAAGGAATTGGACCGGTAACTGAAGTAGGAGTATACATACGTAAGAAATGAAGTAATGACTCGGTGGCCTAACTTCCTGCTCAAGGGTATATTCACTCCACTGTTTGAGTATGCTAAGAAACTTCTGTAACCCTCATATTTCTTTATGCTATGATCATAATGACTCAATGATACATGAAGTACAATACTAATAAATAACTTAAGCAAAATTTAATACATAAGCAAGTGTCCCCAAAATATTAGACACTATACAGATCACCAAATACCTATACAAACATTGAATTTCTTCATTCCACACAGGCTGAAGAACATGATATTATACCTTAACCTACACAACTACATGTGTAGTCAAAACCCCAATATTTCCCTGTTCTATAAGGATTGGTCCATGATACATTGTACTGAAAAAAAAAATCCCAACAAATTTGACCAATCTTGACAATCATTCCGTAAATGCAGCCTCAATAATTATTAGAAAGAAAATAACATAATACAAGAAAGTCCCCAGATTGTTAGGGAATGACATTTGTACAAAACTATAAGTCCAAAAATCTTTATATTCTACAAGACAGTAAGCAGAGGTGGCCAAAGTATTTTCTATTATCTTTTGGGTAAAATATAGTCTGCTGTAGGACTCATATACAGCTAAACATTTTTATGGAATATCTAAACAACTTTACCCCTACTCAGGGTCACAAGAAACAATTTGTTACTGTCAAGATGGCTCTTCATCTGAAGATATTTCTGTTAAAAGGTCCCATGTGTAGGTGTGTCTTTTTCCTCTGCCAAGCAGTGCTTTCAGCTTTACACACCAGTAATATTGTCAAAAACCACTAGGTGGCATTAGCAACTCACAAAAAAAGAAACAAGTAGATAGTAAAACTACATTTCCTGGCATGTGCATTAATCATAAACAAAAAAAAAGCACACAGTGAAACACCAAACCTGCAGGATCACAAAATTATATCTACTTGTAGCAGTCTTCCATCAATCAGGCACTTACTGAACAGCAAAGCAGCTCCACCTTGTGGAAGCAGCTAGTCTGTTAACAGCAACATTTGTGACCATTCGCTGTATTCATGATGAATTCAAATCAGCCCATTGGCTATCAAAATATGCCCTCATATTATGACCAGCCCTTCCCACAGGAGATTCGTCTTCATTAAAAGTTTCACAGTTGTCAAAAATCAATCGTACATCCACAGAAAAATCGTCCTTTGTTTTGTATCTAGAATAAACAAAAAAAAAAGTTTAAACAGTCGCATGCCATATACAGCACAATGTTCTTTCTTAACACCTTTATTAAAGAAAACATGAAACATTTAAAACTAACCAATAAAATCAACAGTAACTAATGGATTTTCTAACTAGAAACAAAGAAGATGAACTTATAATCTCTACAGTTTAAAAAAAAAATGCATACAATTATATGTACTGTCATTAACTAAAAATAAACCTGTTTGATTTGGTTAACGACTATTATGAGAAATGATAGAATCCTAAAACGAGTAGAGATATAATAAAATTTGTTTGCTTTGGTTAACCCTTTCTAGACGGGTCATGGGTCAAAGGCCATGTCATTGCGTTTATTGACTCGCATTCAAAATTTTATTAAACTACTACTTCATGAATTTATGTCAATAAGTTTGGGTATCAAACTGAAAATTATAATTCAAATTTTAGTATTATACCTAAACTCAATTTCTTAATTTAAAAGTAAATATTAAAAAAACACACAGTTAAACATCGATTTTTGTGTGGTATGTTGAATGCAGCACTGGTTCAAATTAGATGTTTGTGATGTCAAAATACTAAATATATAGTTTCGTACAAATTAGGAACTCAAATTACTGATATTGGCAAGCTAAAATATAAAATAAGAGCCTCTTATCTTTTCAATTTGCTAAGATATTGCCCATGTAATAAACCAAACTCAGTGGCTTCCTGCCCACCTCTTTCCATTTTTGTAAATGCTCCCTTTTATACACTTACTTCTATATATGATATGAATAACCAATTATAGGCTCAGAATGTCCCTCTAATGGCTTTCTCAGCAATTTTAACATCTTTGGACACCTTCTCTTTCTTTCGAATCAAGGAGGTAAGGTGTGTCTTTAATCTGTTCAAAATTTCACTTTTTTTAGACTAAAATACATCTTAGTTACTAAACTTTATAAATGATAGTGGAATTCTATGGTATTGATGTAGTAATTTATGATTTTTGGTAATTCAGATGTATATGTAAAAACCTAAAAAAAATTTCTTTCATATCCTCCACGTGCAATATTTTAAAAGGCTTAGCAACCTACGTCAAGC